TATGAGTGAGTAGCCAGAGACGGCTGCTAAAATAGCAAGGGAAGACTGCATCACTATAAATAGTTTCTAAATGACACGAATTACAGGTAGTCCTCGGTTAACAGCCACTTGTTCAGCAACCATTCAAAGTTACGATGGCACTGAAAGAGGGGGACTTACGACTGATCCTTGAAGTTGCAGCCATCCCAAAACCCCTGTGGCCACGTGATCGTGATTCAGGCACTTGGCAACTGGCTTGCACTGATGATGGTAGCAGTGTGCCATGGTCACATGATTGCCATTTGTAACCTTCCCTGCTGACAAGTAAAGTCAATGGGGAAGCTGGCAAGGAAGGCTGCAATTTGCTTGGGTAAGTCGCTTGCACCCTCCCCCACTGGGCAGCAGCCATCCGTGGCCCTGTCACACCCGTGCCATGCACCTCACCTCACCTGCCTGCTGGCCTGCTTGCAAGCTGCCTGGGACTCACTTAATGATCTGCAATCTTCACTTAACAATGGCAATGGGGAGTGCTGGGATCGCCTTAGCTAAGCGATGCAGTCACATGATGTCGTGCTTTACCACTGCATTGCTTAGTGATGGAAATTCCAGTCCCAAATACCACTGTTACCTGAGGACTACCTGTAACACCCTTTCTATATTCTGCATTGTACTGGTAGTCCTTGTTTAGCAACCACAATTGGGACTGGCAACTTGGTTGTTAAACAAAGCGGTCGCTAAGTGAAACCATGAATGTGCTTATGATCTTCCTTCAACTTTCCTTTGCTTGACAGACCTGCAGAGGTTGTCAATGTGAGGATTGGTCCTAAAGTTACTTTTTCATCACCGTTGTAACTGTGAACAGTTGCTAAATGAGGCAGTCACTAAACAAGGACTACCTGTATTGTGTCCAGACTTGAATAAGAATTCAGGCAAGCTGAAAAAATGTATACAAAGAAGATCAATATGACTGATCAGGGGAGTGAAATAAATCTTTTAAGGAGAAATTGAGACCATCTTAGTATATGAAGGGGGTTCTTCCAATGCAGGAAGGGATACTACACAGAAGAAGGCCAAAAACTGTTCTCTGTCGTCCCAGAATGCAGAGCCCCAGTGCCAGTGTAATGAACCTAACTTTCAGGAAGGCAGATTCTGGTTGACCGTTAGGGAAAACACCCTAGTAGTAACAGCATTTTGAAAATGGAGCCCATTTCTTAAAGACATGGTGAATCCTTCCTGGGTGCCCACGTTGAGGAAGCTTGAATCCAGATTCCTGCACGGAAGGCAGGTTAGACGGGATGGCGTCACTCGTCCTTCCGATGCCAGGAGTCTACGATAGACAGAGACAGATTTGTTGCTTGTCACTTTTTCAGAACCATGCCAGTTGGCCGAAAGGGGAGATGTCCCAGCAGCCTGTACATGGCTTGGCTGGAAACCCTCTCGCAAGATCTGAGATCTCCCGTGATCCTGATCAGAGGCAACCAGGAAAACGTCTTGACTTTCTACTGTCAGTAGCTCTCCTTGGGCCGGTGAGCACTGGAGCTAGAAGAGAATCCCAGCCTGATCCTGCTTTGCTGCTAAGCTGTCAAGAGGCTGCATTTCAGTGCTGGCCAACAATAAAAGACTGAAGGCAGAAAACAGATTTGTTGGGCTGTAAGAATCCTTCTCTCCAGACCTGTCCGTGTTAGAGCATATTGTCTGGGTTTGCTCCTTGTGCTGAATCATGGTTTGTTTAATCATGGCTGGAAAAATAAGCCACAAGTGGTGGGGTGCACACAACATGCTATGTCATCAACTCCGAATGGACTCCCAAAACAAGCCAGGACAATGACTATGTCTGAATGGATTTCATTTGCATTTACATTTAATTAAAATTAAATATGATTACATACAGTAGCTGAAAAGTGAATAATTTTAGGCCATGTTCATATCTGTTCACAAATATTGCAGTATCTTGAATACTGGATTAACCCATTTTCTGGATTCTTGTACTACACTGAATCATAAAATTACTGAATGAGCTGGGTTCGCCCACTAGGTTAGCCACCCTGCAAATAATCACATTAAAATTAACCAAAGTTAGCTTATTGTATGCATACAGCAGTTAGTTCTTGATCTGACTTGTTAAGCCTAAAAATTGTAATTTAGGTGCCTAAAAATTACAATTTGATAGAAACTTTTAGAAGCTGGGGGGGGGGGGGGGGGGGG